GTCGAAAATATCACTTTTACCAAAAATTACAAAAATATTCACCAAAATTAGAGAATTGAAGATATCATCACAAAATAAACAAATCTGAGAGAGGTCCACATGGTAGTACCTATATATGTAATATCAAAGCAATCGGACTTGCGGTTTTTAACAAGAAGTCGAAAATATCACTTTTTACCAAAAATTACAAAAATATTCACCAAAATTAGAGAATTGAAGATATCATCACAAAATAAACAAATCTGAGAGAGGTCCACATGTAGTACCTATATATGTAATATCAAAGCAATCGGACTTGCGGTTTTTAACAAGAAGTCGAAAATATCACTTTTTACCAAAAATGACAAAAATGTTCAACAAAATTAGAGAATTGAAGATACCATCACGAAATGAACAAATCTGAGAGAGGTCCACATGTAGTACCTATATATGTAGTATCAAAGCAATTGGACTTGCGGTTTTTAACAAGAAGTCGAAAATATCACTTTTTACCAAAAATGACAAAAATATTCACCAAAATTAGAGAATTAAAGATATCATTACAAAATGAACAAATCTGAGAGAGGTCCACATGTAGTACCTATATATGTATTATCAAAGCATTTGCACTTGCGGTTTTTAACAAAAAGTCGAAAATATCACTTTTTACCAAAAATGACAAAAATATTCACCAAAATTAGAGAATTGAAGATATCAACATGAAATGAACAAACCTAAGAGAGGTCTACCCAAGGTACATATACACCAAGTATCAAAGCATTCAGACTTGTAGTTTTCAAGAAGAAGTCGAAAAAGTAAAACATTGACACGGACGACGACGACGGACGACGACGACGAACAATCACTCATATGATAAGCTCCGCTCGACAAAGTCGACAGCGGAGCTAAAAAAGCAATCTTCTGATTAGTGACATAGCCAGTACACTTAAATCAAATCCATATAAATCTGAAGGAGATATATAAATATATATATATATATATATAAGGTATGCCTTCACATACTCAATCAGCATGACATGTTCTGCCCATACTGCATGCAGTTATTTGACAGAAATAACTTTTTCCAAAAAACAATATCTGCTAGCAGGAAAGTTATTTTATCATTCATTCATTTTTCTCATTTTATCATTCCATAGTGCAATATTGGTCAATTTTGTCAAAATATCACTTACTATAAA